GCTAATAAACCTGCGGTATTTGCCTTCTTTCAGTCTTCTTCACTAACCTCTGTGGGAAGGGAGGTGGAGGTATAGGTATGGGAACAACTTTCTGAGTTATCTCCGCATCTTTCTGTGTCGCATTCTCGGACTCTCCACTAACCTCGACCACATCATCATCTTTTCTAGTCTCAATATCCACCACAGACGGCATAGGTGGATCAATGGTTTGCTTACCCCCTCGAGTAGTGACTTCCATACAATGCCCATTATTCTTTGGATTCTGGATGGTGTTGCTAGGAAAAGTGCCAGGTTGACGTGGGTTCATCATAGTAGACAACTGAGTCATTTACTGTTCAAGATGCTTGATTGACACTGCATGGGCATCAACTTTTTGATCGATACCAAACAGGTCATTTCTTATCTCCTTCACATTCTCATCAATTACATCAAATCTCCTCATCATCTTCTGCATCATATCCTCAATATGCGCCATATTACCTCTAGCTTCTCAATTTTAAGGGGGAACATAAGGTCCAACCCGATCATTTCTGTTGCCATAATTGTTCAAATTATAGTTGTTGTTGCGATTGAAGTTCCCATCTTGGACATATTGACCCTCTCGGTTTTAGTTGCAAGAGTTCCGACCTTGGTTTTCTTGACCTTGATGCCAATTATCAATATTGGAACCTTGGGCGTTTAGTTAGAAACCCCCCGTCTGATCATTCACCGCATAAGTATCCTCTTCATAGTAACACTACTCAACCGGTGATGGATTTCTAGCCAAATAATTCACAGCATTTACCTTTTCCGCTTTACCTTTTCCGCACCTCCGCTCACATGCTTTAACACCAATCCCAATTCAGTCCTCATATGAGCCATCTCTTCACGAATCTCATCTGCAGACTGGTTATTTGTAGCTTGAATGGAAAACGTGTTTCTCCCAGTATCTGACCTCCTAGTGCTCCAAGCTTTATTGTTCTGAGATATCTTCTCCAGTTTCTTTGCAATCTACTCAAAAATGCACTCACCATATGAACCCCAGCAATAGCATCAAGCATTGCCTTACTGTTGCCATCCTGGCCTCGGTAGAAATATTCCTTCAGTGACTCATCATCAATACGGTGATTCGGAACATTTCTTATGAAAGCAGTGAACATGTCCCAAGAACTGCTCACAGACTCTCCAGGTAGTGCTACAAAATTGCTGAGTTTATCTTTCTTATTCAGCTTCTTGGACACTGGATCTTGCTAAGAACGTATCTTTCAATTGTTTCCATGTATTGATTGACTTATAAGAAAGCTCATTAAACCACATAGCAGCATCGCCGGTCAATGATAGAGGGAATACTCGCAGTCCAATAACGTCCATGTCCCAGTCAGGTCACCCCACACAACTTTTGCAGACAACCCTTAGTTTGGCTATGTGACCATGTGGATCCTCTGATGCCAAACCCGGAAATAAGCCCCTCGTTGTAAGCATATGCATTAAACTACTAGTCACCACAAATGTATGCCTCGACTGTAGAGGAGGTAAGACAAGAGTCCCGTCAGAATCAGCAATATCAAAGTTGACGCTATATTTGTCATGCAGTCATGGTCCTGGTGGATCCTGCACCCTCAATGCATCTCCCAGTCAATTTTTAGTTGGAGCCTGGTTATTCTCATCACCTACCCTTGGAGGCTACAACCCAGAACCTTTTCCTAACTCTCCTCCGATAAGATTAACCTGAACTCCTTGATTATTCATTCTCCGCAAAGTTCTGTTCAGTTCTGGATCATAGGGAGTAAGTGGTTCTCCTTGGCTCTGTGTACTTGGCATACACTAGAGTAGGAACCTGAGAGAGACAAAAAAAATAAAAGAAAAAGTAAAATTAGGAAATATTTGACTAAAGTTCAATAATGTTGTTGGACTTAATCTAAAATCTTTACTCCCCGACAGCGGTGCCAAAATTTGATAATCTCATATTACACCTCCCTAAAGAAGCATAAACGATCGTTATCAAGTAAAGAACCCAACTTGTAGGTTGGGGTCGATCCCATGAGGAATATGGTTTAGACTTAAGTTCAACTTACGATTATATTTGTTTAGTCAACGTATCTCCAAAAACAAGTAATTAAAGGGAGGGATTTGTGAAACAAATTCAGGAAATTAAGTAAGCAATCAGTAAGAAAGATTTAAACTTTGGTTGTTATCAAGATGAGAAAGTAACTAGAGTATACGTGTTCCCCATAAGCTCATAACGCGGTAATCCTAGTAATAGCAATCCTTTCCTAGTGTATTACATGCAAAGTGATAAGTTAAGTATCTCTAAATCCTTGGTCCGGCATCTAGAGAATTTCACCTTGCACCTTGGTCCGGCTACGTGTGTATAATTTACTAACCCCTACCTTTACCTCATAGTATACATCACATTGATGTATGGATTAGTTTTCACCCTCGCACCAATCGACATTAGACTATTAGATAGTGTCACACTAAATCTATGTTAATAATTCTTCTCTTATTAACTACCTCCTTGGTCTGGCAAGTAGCAACAAGGCGAGTTCTAACGTTGCGCACCGTTAAAAAGACTTCTAAACGAAAGAATTATCAATGCATGCAATAAACACTATTTGAGAATTGCTTAATTACTATTCATACTTTGTTAATCGATCATGGTTCCCACAACCCTAGTTGTGAATTTAGTTACCCATATTAGCAAGAACGCGATTCATAGTATTAGAAGAAGAAATCATGAACTTATGTAATAAGAATGAAAAAAACCCAGAATTTCAACTTGAATTTCCAAACCAAAATCTTCAAAACATGCTTTAAAAATCAATAATTGCTAAAGTTGCAAATTAATCTCCAAAGCCAAGAACTAGAACAAAAGTAACAATGTCTAACCCTAAAAACGAGGTTTGCATACCCTATTTATAGAAAAAATAAGTCCTAACTAAAAAGGAAACGAAATAAGGAAATAATGTTTCAGCACACGTCTTCCATCTACGACATTGACCTACGGACCGTTGATTGATCTACGGTCTGTAGGTCCCTTCCGTAACCCAGGACTTAGGCAAATTTCTAACTTCGAAAAATCAACATCTCTGATGCAAACTACGGATAAATAGTACGGACCGTAGATTGATCTACAGTCCGTGGATCCTCCTCTGTAGCTCTATACATAGAATCTTCCAAATTAGGTATTAGAAGCAACTCTCTAATGCAATTGAAGGAGCAACAGTACGGTCTGTAGATCAATCTAAGGTCCGTCGATCACCTTTGTAGTTCCACACTTAGTCAAGAATTCCCTGATCTCTTACCATGCCTTTCCTGCCCATCTATGTCCACCATCTACGGAGTATGAATGGACCTACGATCCGTAGATCACCTCCATAGTTGCCCTTTTTCTGCACATCCTTCTGTGTCTCTAAGTTTCCGCGTCTGAACATATTTCCTGCAAACATGATAAAAACGAATAAAAACAAATACAAAATGGCCCTAGACACACACAACTCTTAAGTGAAATGTATCAAAAATATCGTAAACTTACGGTATATCACTTAATCACTAATTTACAGTTATTTACTAACAGTTGCAACTACACCATTGTCTATATTAGCCTATAATCAAATCACATCCCAAAAACCCGTCTCATTATTGTTATTTTTGTGTTATTTGCTGATGTTGTAGTTGATAGTTGAAACAAAAATCCCCCTGTTATTTGACATTCGTGTCACCCCTTAATTTGAATTATGTTTTTATTCGATAATGTCTATTCCTATGATTGACTTGAGCATATTCGTACTTTCCTATTGATTCTCAAACATGTACCACTCCCTGTGGGATTCGACCCCAACTCATTTAGTTGGATTATATTACTGACTAACAATCGTTGACACTTAGAATTGGAAGAAGTGTCATGATACGTGAAATCAACGTGTGCGCGCGAGCACACAAATATATATATAATTTAATAGTTTACAGTACATGTTAATTTTTTGCACTCTTAATTCATAATCTAGGTGTTTACCTCTATAAGAATCCAATTTCTTGCTTTTAATTTTTATTTTTATTTGTTATTTTTATTTTTATAATTACAAGACTCTGTTAAAAATAGTTTGTCTTGAGTCCTTAAATTATTAGTCAATTTTTGGCAGAAAATACATAGATACCTATCTCTCTCTATATAGAGAGAGGGAGGGGAAAAACTAACATAACTACAAAGTCGACAAATCAAAGTCATGAAAATTCTTTAGATCATTTTTTAACATTCCAGTGGTTTCCGCAAGGAATGGTGCCATAGCTCCTGCAAAAGTAATAACAATCAAAGTCGTAGGTAGGTATTCAAATAAAGGGGAGCACCTTGCTATCATGAAAATGCTAGTTGTTACCATAGAAGCTGCTTAATTGATTTAATTTCAACATTTAAAAAATTAACACCATGAATTAGTAGACTGATAAGAATTGGGTACAACAGTTTTAAAATAAGGCCAAAATAAACATGTCGTATCTAATTTAAGATTTATTTTTTATTTTTTTAAAGAAGGAAGTCAGAGAGGAAAACTACCTAACTAGACATACTTTACTATCATATATACTTAATTTACCTCTAGTTTAAAAAAATTACACTAGGCGTGAAAAAGACTAATGGGGAAGTCATAGAGAAGTGGGTGAGAATAAAGTACGATTACGTTCCAAAATATTGTAAGGCATGCATGCTACAAGGACATGATGCGCAACAATGATTGTGGAACATCCGGAACAATATCCAAAAAGAGAGAAGAAGAACGTGAAGGTAACTGACAGAGAAGAAAGGGTAAAAACACAAAATACAAATGAGACAAATCGGGATAAGAAAAAGATTTAATTTGGAAGAAAGGATTACACTCCAACAAAAGGAAAAGATGAATAAATTTGAAGAATCTAAATTCAAATGGGGGTGGAGGAAGCAGGCAGAGAAAGTCTGGGCCAAGGTGGATATTCCTACGGGGAATAAATTTGGGGCTTTATAGAATGACGCAAGAGAAGGTGAAGCGATGGAGATCTCAAAAGGAACAGAAGATCAGGCTTTTGAAAAGCTGATCACTCAAGTATCAAAAGAATCATCGAAAGAGTGGGTTGAAGGTTCCTTTAAAATACAAGATAAAGGGGCATCACCAGGGACACAGAACAGTAACACTAATAAACTTGTTGAGAAATCCATGTGTACACTTTTAAAGAATGGGGAACCTGTGGAAGTCTCTAGCAATATATGAGCTAATAGTTCTATCTCTGGTGATAGAGCTAATGTGCAGGAAACTGGACTTAAGGAACAACAAATAGATACATGTGCAGAAAAGAGTGATGAAGCGATAAGGGAGAAAGAAGCAGAAACACAGCTAAAAGAAGCTCCCGAATTAATCGATGAAACAGAGGGAGAGATACAACATAGAAAGGAAACAGAAGAAGATGAATACATGGATTATAATATCCAGCAAAGCTGGGGATTTATCTTCAAGGTACATAAATAGTTTGAAGCCAAAAAAAGGACGGCCCAACATTCCTCTTCAAGTCAAAACAAGGAGTAGTAAGGACAGATAGATACTCAAAATGCTTTTGAGAGATTAATGGATCTGAATAGAAGACATCATTATTCATTTGTAGCTTTAATGGAACCTTTTAAGGATCCATCAGAGCTAGACCAATACAAAAGGAAGTTAGGATTCAATAATGCCTTGGAAAATTGTTCAGGTAAAATTTTGATTTTTTGGAAAGATAACTGGGAGGGAACTTTGCTTATTGATTCAATACAACACATATCTATGAAATCCTATAAGAACAACAAGTCTTTCATTATTTAATCAGTATATGCTAGATGTAATGCATTAGATAGACTGGAACTATGGGAGAATTTAGAACGAATTGCTTGGATGATTGGAGGTGACTTTAATGTTGTACTTAATGAAGACGAAAAAATGGGAGGTTTAGATTTCACTCAGCATGAGGCTACTGATTTTTCTCATTGCATTAGCAATTGTGTGTTATGTGAGGTGAAGTTTTCTAGGAGTAAATACACTTGATGGAATGGCCGAATAGAAGAAGCTTTTATATTCAAGAGAGTGGACAGAATTTTAGTGAATGCCTTATTCACAGAGGAATTTTCTGCCCATGAAGTTCATCATTTAATTAGACAGGTTTCTGATCATGCCTTTGTTCATGTGACTTGTGATACAAAAGATGAACCTATTGTTAAACCATTTCGATTTCTGAATTTCTGGACTAAACACCATCAATTCAAGGAAATTGTCCAACAACACTGGAGGATTGATTTAGCCCTTTTTTGGAAGTTCATGCGAAACGGAAAAAAGTAAACAGAGCATTAGCTGAATGGAGTAAGGATGTCTTTGGTAACATTTTTCAGCAAATTGCCACCATTGAGGATGTGATCATGGTTAAGGAAGCTCAAGTAGAGATTCACATACAACTTATAGTAGGGCAGAACTGAGCAAAATGGAGGGAGAATAGAGAAAACATCTCACCATTGAAGAAGAAAACTGGAAGCAAAAGGTGAAAATGAAATGGTTTGTTGATGGGACAGAAACACTAAATGTTTCCATTCTTATGTTAAAGGAAGAAGGAAAAAGTTACATTTGTCAGAGATATGTAATGAACATGGGGAGGTTGTATAGACAAACCAACAAATAGGGGAAGCAGCAGTTCAGTTCTTTTCTGAGCAGTTTAAGGCATAAGAGACATCGCAAGATTACACTTTGCTAAGACATATCCCCAAACTGATCACTGATGCAGAAAAATGAAAAGATGACAAAACTACCAACTCAAGAGGAAACAAAATGGGTGGTGTTTGAACTAAATGGAGATAGTGTGAGTGGACCAGCTGGTTTTTCAGGTTTGTTCTTTCAATCTTGTTGGAAAATTATGGGGGGTAATATTACTAGATTAGTGGTTGCATTTTTTTTGTGGGAAAACACTGCCAAATTTTATTACTCATACTAATCTGGTATTACTACTCAAGAAGGAGGATTTTAATAATTTTTCAGACATAAGGCCAATTAGTGTGAGCTCTTTTATCAACAAGATTATATCAAGAATGGTGCATGATAGAATAGTGAAGGTGCTGCCTATAATTATTTCTCCTACACATTCAGGTTTTTCAAGGGTAGGAGTATAACTGAAAATGTGTTCTTGGCACAAGAAATAAGCAGGGATATTAACCAGAGGAATTAACACATTAATGTGGTGGTAAAGCTAGACATTACTAAGGCGTATGATAGAATGTCTTGGATCTTCCTAACAAAGGTGTGCGTAAGTTTTGTTTCTCGAAGGTATTGTAGACATGGTATGGAGACTCATCTCTAGTAATTGATATTCAGTTCTCATTAATGGCCAGTCTAATGGGTTCTTTGAGTCTTCTAGAGGTCTTAAACAAGGATCCCTAACACTATTTATCATTGCAGCAGAAGTCTTAGCTAGAGGTTTAGACGGCTTGCATGATGATAGAGATTACAAAGGATATGACATGCCAAAATGGAGTCTAGCAATAAATCATCTATCATATGCAGATGACACCATATTATTTTGTTTAGGTGATATAATATCAGTGATCAAGATGATGATAGTGCTTAGGGAATATGAAAAAGTTTCAGGTCAAATGGTCAATAAGGCTAAGAATTCTTTCTATCTTCATGACAAGACCCCTTTGATTGTGGCAATCACAATGAGAAAATTGACTAGAATAAGACAAGGAAATTTTCCTTTTACTTATTTGGGGTGCCTTGTTTTTTTATGAAAGAAAGGTCAACATTTACTTTGAAGAGTTGGTTAGAAAGGTGGCAAGAAGGATCTTGTCTTGATAGAATAGACTCTTATCCTTTGGAGGTAAGTACATCCTTATTAGTCATGTTCTTCAATCATTACAAATCTATCTTTTATCTGCTATGAACTCCCCCAAAGAAGGTGATTGAAAAGTTGCATCAATTTTTTACAAAATTCTTTTGGGGAAGTACTGGCATCTTAAAGGAAAACATTTGGTAGCTTGGAATGAAATGTGTTTTCCTAAAGCAGAAGGAGGCTTGATTTTTTATCTCTACATGATGTTAATAATGCTTTGTTTTCTAAATTATGGTGGAGTTTCAGGGTGTCTACTTCTTTATGGAATATCTACATGGACATTAAATATGATAAAAAGCTACACCCTACCCTTGTTAGGATCTCTGCATCATCTCATGTTTGGCAATAAAAGAAGAGGTGGAGCATGATAGTTGGTGGCAAATGAAAGCAGGAAATTCGAGCTTTTGATTTGAAAACTTGACAAAACAAGAGACTTTATTTTTCACAGAAAGAGAAAATGCGAGGGATGAGGAAATAGAGGTGAAGGAGTTCATTGAAAATGGACGTAAGAAGATTGAAAAATTGCAAGAAAATCTGTCACACAAAATGGTAGCTCACATAGTGGAAAACATCAAACGTAACAATTATTCCCTTAATGATAAGCCATGGTGGATGGGAAATTCAACAAGAGTATTTTCTGTCAAATTAGCTAATGGCATATTAATGAATAAAAGGGAATGTAGAGATGGGATGAGCTACATTTGGATTAAAGGTATTCCTTTTAAAATTTCTCTCTTATTGTGGAGAATATGGAAGAAAAGAATTACAACAGATAACATATGACAATTTGAAGAGGATGAGGATGCATATAGCATCAAAATGTCACTATTGCGAGAAGGGGGAGTTGAAAACCATGACACATTTATTTCTAACAGCTCCCATAGCTAAAAGGCTATGGCAGTTTCTTGCTTCTTGTGTAGGTTTTACTATTGATGGAACTCAACTATTACTCAAGAAATGGTGGGAGTATGAGGGGAGTTCAAAGTTGCAGCAAATCATGAAGGCTATACCAGCCATTATCATGTGGGAACTATGGAAAATGAGAAATTCTTGAAGACATGACAAGGAGGTATCTTTTGATAAAATGTTTCGTCAATGTCAAATGACAGTTCACCAGATGATAAAGGTCAAGTATCCCTGGTTCAGGAAAATTTCTTTTCAATGGAGTGGAATTTTTTATTTCCTTCAAGAATATAGACCCACTCTATAATATCGCATTGTACACTGGACAAGGCCAGAAGAGGGTTGGTGTAATGTAACACAGATGGTGCGAGCAAAGGAAATCTAGGGATGAGCTCTTATGGTTTTGTCTGAGGGATAACAATGGGGATCTACTATATGCAGAGGAAAAAAGAATTGGTTTTGCACTAATATGGTGGCTGAATTAACTGGGGTATGGAAGGCTCTTAGATACTGTAAACAACAAGGATATGCTAACATTTTTTTAGAGACTGATTCATTAAGTCTTAAAAATATGATTAGAATGAAGTGGAGAATACCTTGGAAACTAATTGAGAGGATAGAAGAGATATATGAGATGATGTAAATACTTATTATTCAAATATGTCACATTTGGGGCTCTAAACAATGATGAAGAATCTGGAGAAACAAAAGAAGAACAACAAAAAGAGGACAACAGAGGTGATTCAAGGGAAGGGGAAGGAGAGATTTCTGGGAAAATAAACAATAATACTATAGGTAGTGGATCAAAGGAAAATAGGGACAAAAGAGTGTCAAACAAGGAGAAGGGAAACATGTCAAACTTGTCAATCAGGTCAGTAAAATCAGCTTGGAAAGGAAATGCCGAGGGAGATGCGAGAAGTTGTAATGTGGAAGGCATACAAGCAAAAGTAGATAAAGAAAGAGATGTATCAAATAAAGGGGAGGAAAAAGGCAACATGACAGTTGATGAAAAGGAAGACAACATCATGTCGGACCTGGAGGAAGTCACAGAGGAGGAGAAACAACGACGTAGAGACAGTGAAGAGGATGATGACATTGTAGAAAACATTGCCACAACGTTAAGGGAGGGAGATTTGTCACCAAGGCAAATAAAATACCTGGAAAATAGTGTCAAAAAGGGCAAGACAGGACAACCATCACTTCCATTGCAAGTGAAAACAAGAAGCAGGGATAGGTCAGGAGATGTTTCCCAATGATTGGGAAAGCCATCTTCTGGAACATCAGGTCCATAAAATCTCAAAAGGCTTTCGAGAGGTTGATGGACCTGAATAAAAGACACAAGTACAATTTCATAGCACTAATGGAACCATTTCAAGGTCCACAAGAGCTAGAACATTATAAAAGAAAGTTGGGGATGCACAATGCCTGTTGTAATTGCTCAAATAAAGTTTGGATTTTTTGGAAGGAAGAGTGGAGTGGAGAAGTGATAAGAGATAATATACAACATTTGACAATGAAGTTCAGACACTACAATAAGGAAATCATGATAACATCAGTTTACGCAAGATGTGGTGCGCTGGAACGACTTGAACTGTGGGAAGAGCTGGAAGGCCTAACTGAAGTGCAAAACATACCATGGTTAGTGGGAGGGGACTTCAATGTCATAATGAATGAGGAGGAGAAACAAGGAGGCATGGACTTCACTCAATATGAAGCTTTGGATTTCGGTCAGTGCATCAACAATTGTGCGTTGATGGAGCTAAAGTACTCGGGAAGTAAATTCACTTGGTGGAACGGTAGAATAGAAGGGGGATGTATTTTTAAAAGACTAGATAGGGTCTTTGGGAACCAAGAATTTTTTGATTTTCTCCCCTCTAGTGAAGTCATTCATCAGGTGCGAGAAGGTTCTGATCACGCACCACTACATGTAATATGTAGTTCGTAGGAAGAGCCAGTAGTGCGACCTTTTAGGTTTCTGAACTTTTGGACAAAACATCCAAATTTTAAAAAAGTAATAGAGGAGAATTGGAAGGTGGAGTTTGTAGGCTGCCCTTTTTTAGTGTATCAGACAAAGATTAAAAAACTGAAAGGAGTATTATCGAGGTGGAGCAAGGAGACGTTTGGAAACATTTTTCAATGGGTTGCTACACTAGAAGATGAGATAAAGGTGAAAGAGATACAACTGGAAGTTAATGCTTCGCCGGAAAATAGGGCTGAATTGAAGAAAACGAAGGCTGAACTAAGAAAATTCTTGCATATGGAGGAGGAATTCTGGAAGCAAAAGGCAGGGATGACATGGTTCAAAGATGCAGACAGGAACACCAAATTTTTTCACAATTATGTGAAAGGGAGAAGAAAGAAATTACAGCTGACTGAAATCCAGACCTCTCAAGGCGATGTGGTCAATACAAGTGAAAACATTGGAGCTGAGGCGGTGTCCTATTTTGAGGAACAATTTAAAGAAGCTAACAGACAAGAAGGTGAGGAATTGTTAAATATAACACCAAAACTAATCACCACAGATCAAAATGAGAAGTTAAGTAAGATGCCCAGCGAAGTGGAGGTGAAATAAGTAGTTTTTGATTTGAATGGGGAAAGCGCATGCGGACCAGATGGCTTCTCAGGTTTGTTTTTTCAATTTTGTTGGGAAATTATAGGGGAAGACATAATCAACATGGTCAAAGCATTCTTCTGTGGGAAAATGATGCCGAAATTTATTACCCATACAAATCTTGTGTTGCTGCCAAAGAAGGAGAATGTGAAGAGTTTGACTGATCTGCGACCGATAAGTTTATGTACATTTGTGAGCAAGATTATTTCAAGAGTACTACATGAGAGAATAGCCAAGTTGTTACCAAACATTATCTCTCAAAATCAGACGGGATTTGTTAAAGGAAGAAGCATTACGGAAAATGTCTTGCTAGCCCAAGAGATTATCCGAGACATCAATCAAAGGAAAAAGTATCACAATGTAGTGGTGAAGCTGGACATGGCAAAAGCTTATGATAGGGTATCTTGGATCTTTCTGATCAAAGTCCTAAGGAAATTTGGCTTCTCAGAAACTATCATTGATATGATTTGGAGATTATTATCGAATAATTGGTATTTAGTGTTAGTTAACGGGAAAGCCTTTGGATTTTTCAAATCATCTAGAGGATTAAAACAGGGGGATCCATTATCACCTACCCTATTCATTATAGCGGCAGAGGTACTGGCAAGGGGGTTAAATAAGCTACATGAGAAGCCGGAGTTTAGAGGATATAGTATGCCTAAGTGGAGTCCTTCCATTAATCATTTATCTTATGCAGACGATACTATATTGTTCTGTTCAGGTGATAGGAAATCAATAAGAATGATGATGATGGTGCTGAGGGAATATGAAGATGTGTCGGGTCAAATGATCAACTTGAATAAAAGTTTCTTTTACTTACATGACAACACTCCTCTAATCGTTGGAATCAGAATAAGAAGGATAACTGGAATCAAACAGGCCTCATTTCCATTCATATATCTGGGATGTCCAGTGTTCTATGGAAGAAAGAAGAAGGAACACTATGATGATCTGGTAAAAAATATACAGAAACGAATAATGACATGGCACAATAAATGGTTGTCTTATGGAGGTAAGTGTATTCTGATTGCAAATGTGTTACAATCAATGCCAATATATTTGCTCTCAGCAACGAATCCACCTAAGAAGACCATAGAACATTTGCATCAAGTTTTTGCCAGATTTTTCTGGAGCAAGATAAGAGGAGAAAAAGGAAAACACTAGGTAGCTTGGAAGGACATGTGTTTCCCAAAGGAGGAAGGGGGTATTGGAGTTCGATCACTTCACGATATCACCAAAGCTCTCTTTGGAAAGATATGGTGGAAGTTTAGGACCTCCAATTCATCATGGAGCAATTTCATATGGAATAAATACTGCAAGAAGCAACATCCGATAATGACCACTGGCAAGGGAGGTTCTCACGCATGGAAAAAAATGATAGAAGTAAGGGAAGATATGGAGCATGAGATATGGTGGCAAATCAAAGGAGGAGGAGCAAGTTTTTGGTTTGATAACTGGACAAAACATGGTTCACTGTATTACACAGAAGAGCAAGGAGCAGGAGAAGAAGAAATAGAAGTAAAACAATTCATCGTGAATGGGAATGGGATGAACAGAAGATCAGAAGCCTTGTATCGCGAGAAATGGCAGAATACATTCTTGAAAACATTGACCCTAGGATTGAAGAAGGAGATGTAGATGTGCCTTGGTGGATGGGAAATTCCAACGGGGTCTTCACAGTAAAGTCAGCATATGAAGGGCTTAGACACAAAAAGGAGAAAGTGTGGTGGTGGAGTCGCATTTGGAGCAGAGGAGTACCTTTTAAGATGAACTTCTTGTTATGGAGAAGTTGGAGAGGCAGAGTAGCAACAGAAGATATTCTTCAGAGAATGAGAATAAGCATGGCCTCAAGATGCTACTGTTGTGATAACCATGAGCAAGAAACTATGAGGCACCTTTTTCTAACAGCTCCCATAGCCCAAAAGCTATGGAAGCATTTTGCTTCATGTGCAGGTATCGAAATAAAAGAAGGCTTACAACACACTATTACAGAATGGTGGGAAACACCAGCCAATCCAAAATTGAAGGTTGTGTTTCAGGAAATACCATCTATATTGATGTGGGAGCTATGGAAAAGAAGGAATGCAAGAAGACATGGAAAAGAAGTAACATTTGAACAACTCAAGCAACATAGTCAGGAGTCTGTTTTCAAATTACTTAAAACACTTTTCCCATGGATTAACATTCCTAAGGAGTGGGAAGGTACAATAGAAGTGTTGAAGAGGTACAGACCCATACTGCACTATAAGCCAATATCTTGGGAAAAACCACAGAGTGAATGGATAAAGTGCAATACAGATGGAGCAAGCAAAGGAAATCCGGGGGAAAGTGCCTATAGTTTTTGCCTAAGAAACAATCTGGGGGATTTAATACATGTAGAGGCAGAGAAAATAGGGGAGGCTACAAGTTTGGAGGCAGAAATCAAGGCAATTCTAAATGGCCTAAGATATTGTTCTAGCACTAATCTCACAAAGATTATTGTGGAAACTGACTCACTAGGCCTTACAAAAATCATAAACAAGGTATGGAAAATTCCATGGCAGTATATACAAGAGATAGAAGAAATACAAGAGCTACTGGGCAAGGTAAATGCATTCATTATACACGAATTCAGAGAGGCGAACCAGCTTGCAGATAGAATGGCAAATGAGGCATACATACACCAAGAAAAAATACAATGGTTGAGCTTTGAACAACTATCAGTGGAGTGTAGGAGAATCTTAAACATGGACAAAACAAGCATACCAACATTAAGGATTAAAACAAGAAAGATCAAGGATCAGCAGCAATAATATGTACAAGCATAATTACAAAGGAAATACCATATATGGACCACACAGCTAAACAGGCGGGTTCCTTTGGACAGGGCCAAACACATTTTAGTTTCCTTCTTTATGTTGGGCTCGTTGGGCCATTTTGTACATATTCTTTGATTAATAAATGAGCTCCTAAGCTCAATAAATTCAATTAAAAAAAACAGTTAGCAGACTTCATCACAAATGTAGCAATATAACAAGAGGTAGAGGGGAAACAACGGTATCAACATTTCAATCAACTACCAAGCACAGCGAAAAGGATTTTAAACATGCCTAAACAGCAAATATCAACAATCAGAAAACGGACGAGGAGAATCAACAATACCATCAGTCACTAACATGGAAAGCATAGAAAAAGCTACAGAATCACACAACTATGATATTTACAATAAAGTTGTGGAACCAGTTTTTGTTGAAGTGTAGGTATCCAGCTAGGAGATCAGCTAGAAGCGACTCAGGAAGAACATGTCCTTCTTCAATTGGGATTCAGCTAAGGAAATGGAAAAATCAATAAGGAGAATACATGAAAGAAATAAAGTAGGAAAAGAGTGATACTCACACAAATCTACAAGCAGGAACACATGAATGATTCTCTTACGAGTTATCCCCATTTCAGAAACCTCCACTGGAAGGTACACCTAGAAACAAGAAGCATATAAAAAATGCATAGGAAAAAGAGAGCAATAGATAAATGGAGGAAAATGTTACCCTTGCAAGCTGAGCAAGACAACTATGTATCCTTTGTCGTGATCCCAAAAGCGATGGAGGAGAAAATCTAAGCTCAGAACCCATGGATACATCCTCATCGATGAAGATACAAGCGGGAAGA